CTATATTATAAAATTTTCTCTCTACCTCTATTCTCTATCACTTCTTCTCTTTCGGCATCTCTCAAAATCATTCAAAAACAAAAATCAGTTCAACATTTTCGTACTACGATTCTCTTTAACATCTTTTAAATATTTTTTTATTATTAACATATTTAGTATTGTTTATTCAATATTCCTACAACATTTATTAAAAAAAAATTGAAACAGTACTTTTGATATGAAGTATTTTTAATATTAAAATTTTTGAAACAGTAATTACCATTCGTTTTGACATTATTAAGGGCCCGTTTGATAGGCTCTGAATGACCTTTTAATACACAATAAACACTTATTCGGTCAGAGATAACCAATTTAGCCTGTTTGGTAGGGAGCTCTGTACGGAATGAAATATTGCTTACCGACTCAGTCAATAAATTAATACTTATTCGTTCAGAGATCGACTGAGTGGAATTTAGACAAAATTACCCCGTGATTTTTTTGAACCTTTTCAACAAACTCCTCTGCATTCACAGTCATGTTCAAATCCAATAACTCATAATATCGTTATCCATCATCATCGTCTCCTTTATTCAAGAAATTTTCACCAAAGTAGATCACTCATGAGAAATGAGATTCTGAGATTCCACGAGGCTGTTGAACTAATTTCCCTAATTTTTTTCACAGTACATATTATTCACATATAAAAAAAATAGTCAGAGAAGGTCGAAGAGAAAGATAAGGAGGCGGTGGAGAACTTTATGGTTGCCAGAGGTTTCGAAAAGTGAGCTATGTTTTTTATTAAATTATTTTCTAATGAAAAGATGATGTTCCAACAGGTCTAGCCTTCAACTATTTATTTCTTTTTTTTTTTTTTTTTTTTGGGCCTTTTTGCTTTGTTATTGATTATGATTTTTTGGTGAAAGATTAGAATTATGTTAAAGATTGAACATCTATATATATATATATATATATATATATATATATATATATATATATATATATATATATATATATATATATATAATTTCATTTACAATATTCTTTTTATTAAAAAAAATGTATAATATTTATAATTGCGATGGGCATTGAATTTTTGTTTATATATTATTGATAATTTTGTTTATGAAAAAATATATATTCAACATTATGAGGCTAGTATAGAAAAATTATATATTATTAAGATACAATAGGTTTTTTTTTATCAAACAAGCTTAAACGTTCAGTATGAAGCATTCAGACACTGATCTTAACCATTCAGTTATGTATTCAGCATTCAGTATTCAGCGCTTAATTCTGTCAAACGGGGCCTAAATGACTATTAACATTATTTAAACAAATATTTAAAAGAAAAAAAAACCCTCACATCGATTATAGTGTTGGACATGTATATAATTTCAGAAATATTTCATCAAAAAAAAAAAAAAGTGTATTTATGTTTTATATTTATTCGAACAATTTATTGTAAATATTGAACCATGCGTGGGGGTTTTCGTAATAGATTCTCTATTCCGAAATGGGGGGTTTCGTAATTAGACCATAACTCACGAGGGTGGCTATAATTATTCCAAAATTAACCCCCCCTCCTTGAAACCCCAATTCAACTCCAATTTCATGATTTACACCCCAAATTAGCCCAATTTCACCAATTAACCAATTTTGACCGCCACCGCCAGTCAGCGGCGTTGAACTTTTTTATTTTTTTGAAAACTTTTTTTTTGTCTGAATTTTTTTCCAGCAGGTCAACCCCCGGTGTCCGGCGTTGACTTTTTTTTCTTAAAAAAATATTTTCATTAATATTAGGGTAAATTACAACTACCTCCTAAGGTATGGACAATTTACGAAAAAAACCCCTCTTGTTTGATAATTACATCTACCCCATTCAACTATGATTTTTTCTTACACCTCCACCCTTATGGTGTCATATTCAACATAATCATCTTGATTTCGTGAAATGTGCTCTACTTTGTACCCGTTTTGTGTAAAAATACAATTTCTGATGCACCACAATCTGATATATACAAGCCAAAAAAATACATATTATGATCATCTTGCTTCAAAATGTGGAGTTCGAAGGGGATAAAACGGGTACAAAAGTGAATATTCCATATAATCTCGAACATTCCACTAAATTTGAAACCGCAAGGGTAGACGTGTAAGAAGATTTATAGTTGAGGGGTGGTTGTAATTACCCAAACATGAGGAGGATTTTTGTAATTTGACCATACCTCAAGGGGGTGGTTGTAATTTACCCTTAATGTTATTGTCTTGGCCTGCGTATTATTATCTCGGAGACAGTAGGTAATATTACTATCGGAGACAGTAAATTAACTGTTTAAGACATTTATTTTACTGTTTGAGATAGTAATTTTACTGTATTAAATAATTTTATCTTCTTGGCCTGTAATTTTGCTGTCTTTGATCGTAATATTACTATGTCATGCAGTAATATTACAGTTTGGGATAGTAATATTAGTAATATTAATGTTTGGGATAGTAATATTACTGTTTTGGCATTCAATATTACTGTCTTAGACAATAATTGTGTTGTTAACACAGTCATTTAGAGAGAAAAAAAGTTTCATAAAAAAGGAAAAGAAAAAAGAATCAACGCCGGAGATCGACGGTCAATGGCGGTTGACCGGCCGGAAACATATTTCAGAATTTTTTTTTTCAAAAAAAAAAAATAAAAAAATAAATAAAAGTCAACGCCGGAATCTGGCGGGAAAAAAAATCCAGAAAAAAGATTATTGTCTAAAAAAATATTTTTTCAAAAAATTAAGAAAATGGGAGTTTATGTGATTTATTTGTACAAATCAGGGGTCAATGTACAATATCGATGAATTTAGAGTATAATTGATGGAATTGATGAAAAATATATTACGAAGGGGTATTTTAGACAAAATACATGATGATAGATTTATTTGAGAGACTATTTTTTTGTCTTGACCTACGTGCATTTAAATCCCTTGTCATGAGCCTATTTGCCATTTTAAATAGTTGTTTAACACATTAAACAACTATTACAAAACTTACATGGATGAATATTTACAATAAATTGAAAACAAACAACTATAAGCAAAAGGATGCTTGGAATCTATGGTATTATTTTTCTTTTTTAAATTTCCATGAATGTTATTCGAAAAATATTTGAAATTTTTATACATGTCCTACTAGTTAAGAGTCATATCTTGAATTAAACTCTTGCATAATCATAAATTTCTAGGCGTATGATTGATACCTGCAGGCCCGTTCCTGGGATTTCGGGGGCCCAAGGCGAACTTTGTGAAGGGAGTCGAAACGGGGCCCCTTGTATATTTAGCTAAATTAATATAAATATGAATGCATGCTATATTTTTAGTGACCAGAAATTAACATTAAAATAAGTACTAAAAATATTTGTAGTCCAAAAAAAAAACTAATAAATAATCTCGAAACAAATTTCGGCGTCACTGAAAAATAACTCTTCTTGCTTTCTGAGCTGCAAAATTACTAATCAAACTACTGAAATCAAGTTTTTCTGTCAAATATTTTTCAATGGATAACATAGCTAATCCATTTAGTCTTTCTTGGCTCATGGTTGATCGGAGGTAAGACTTGATTAACTTCAATTTTGAGAAACTTCTTTCTGCAGAGGCAACTGTGACTGGTATAATCAATAGTATCCTATAAGCAACCCATGCATTCGCAAAACACCCATTCATCGCTTTCAAGTAATTCAACACTCCAATTGCCGTTTCTGCTTCTTTCGGTAGAATTTCTCTCAGTACTCTTAGTTCATTAAATAAATCTTCCCCGTCAATATCAGATTCCATATCGTTTTTTTAAAAAACATTGAAGCTTAACACAAGAAGCCTTCAGACATTCATCGTCTATCAATTTCCACTTCTTTAAATCTAACAAAAATCCAAATTGTCCTTCAAACTTTTGGAAATCTTCAAATCTCTGTCTCAATGAAGTAAGAGCTTGATCCATAACAAACATGAAAAATTCAACTCTAAAGGTTTCTTCTGCTGACTGGGGTGTGTATTCATTCTCATTCTCATCAAATTGCCTTTTTCTTTTAATTACCCGTCTCGTCCGAAATAAGGGTTGAACACCCAATTTGGTGGCAATAAGTTGAGCTTCTTTTTTGGCTTTCTCAAATCCTGTTTCTCTATAATCTTCAACAAGAATGATGAGTCCTTTCAACTGCCGCAAAGCTTCATCCATATGCATGTCTTCATTTTGACGTGTCTTGCTGACACTATTCACAAAAAATAATAAATCATACCAAATAACCAAATTCATCAAAAAATCAAAGTTTTCGAATTCATTTATGATCAAACCTTCATCTTCACTAGTTATTGTTCCATCTTCATCGCTGTGTGCCAACTCAAGTAAAGCATTTCTAACTTCTTCCGTTTGTCGTAGCAATGGTTTCACACTTTCAATACGACTTTCCCATCGTGTTTGGGACAATGGTTTAAGAGTAAGACCAATAACATTAGCCTTCATGATATCCCACCTTTTTGTTGAAGCAGAAAATAAGCAATATATTCGTTGAATAACCCCAAAAAAAAATTTACCTTTGAGACAACAGCTGGTCATATCACAAAGTGCAAGATTCAGACTATGACAACCACATGGCATGTAGAAAGCTCTTGGATTTCGATCAAGTAATCTCTTTTGTACACCTTTGTGTTTTCCCTTCATATTCGACCAATTTTCATAACCTTGACCTCTTATATCATTGATGTCTAGCTCAAGAGTATCTAATACCTCTTCTAGTTCACTAAAAAGACCAAGTCCTGTTGTATCATCCACTTTCAGAAACTCCAAAAAAAACTCCTCAACTTTTATTTGGCTTACAGTAACGTCCACGCATCGTATCACAAGAGTCGTTTTCTCTTTATGGCTTACATCAGGTGTACAATCAAGTATAACAGAGAAGTATTTTGCTTTTTTTATTTTTTCCACGATAGCCCTCTTGACTTCACCAGCCAATAAATTAATCAATTCATTTTGAATCTTGTTACCGAGATAATGGTAATGAATCTCTTTTGTTTCAATTCTTCGAACATGCTCTTGCATTATGGGATCAAACATTGCAACCATTTCAATGAACTTCAAAAAAATCCCATTCCCATCTTTATGAAGTGTTTCATTGTCCCCTCTAAATGCCAAATTTTGTTGTGCAAGAGTTCTCACAAGTGCAATTATTCGAACCAATACTTTCCGCCAATAATTTTTCTCTCTATTAATTTGCTCTTGCAAACCTTTATCAATTGTTTCATTTTTCTTTAGCCGCATCTCCAATTCGATCCACTTACTGATACAAATAATATGTTCGTTGCTTCCTTCATTACTATGTAGTCTATGAGCAAGATTTTTCCAATCCTTAAAACCAGTGGTCGCCAATTGAGTATTATTTGACTCATTCTTAAACAATTTGCAGCAGAAACAAAAGACCTTATCAGCAATTTTGGAATAAACTAACCACTTTCTCTTGTGTCTCTCTCCATTTGGAAATTGCCGGACGTAATGAGTAGAAGAGAAATGTCTACAAGAATCGTCAAGAGGGTACTCGAAATCATCATCCAAATCTCTTATAGGGCTTCATTCTAGCAAAAAGTCTCTCGTCTTTACATCAAATTTGTCCCATTTGATTGGATCATCACTTACTTGCTCACTCAACACTTGTTCAACTTGTGGATCATTGTCACCTCCATCCTTGGTTGTTTTCGTTTCTTGGTTGCCATCTACAGTTGGATTTTCTAACTCCACTGTTTCATTATCATTGATATCCTCGTTCACCAATTCTTCATCTATTTCTATAATATTAACTTGTTCGGCATCAAAAAATCTATGCAAACCTCCTCTTCTTTTCATAGATCGATCAAGTTCGTCTCGTTTATCCTTTATCTTTCTTTTTTCACATCCAGAAGGATATACTCTAGGAGTAGGACCCATGACCACGACAATAAAATTATGTACCAAAACAAGAAAATAACTCATCAAAATATGTATTATAAATTACAAAATATAATGAAAATATCACTTTCAATACAAGAAATGTATTGAAATATCAATCCTTCATAGTTTATTCATTAAAAAAAGAATAACATGTACATAAATTTTTATTCCATTGATCAACATAAAAAAAGGAAAAATATATTATGGTATACCAAATAATGAAGATGTATCTTGTAGCCGCCTGTTGATTTAAATCGGGGTAGAGGTCGGAGAAACGTAGAAAAACAACAATTGACGGAAAGTAATAACAACAGGATCAAGAAATTTGGTGACTTGAATTTTGGAATTTAAGAATGAAATTTGGGGAATCTGGTTTCGAAATTTAAGAAGATGAGTGGGAATTTGGGGTTTCAAAATCCAGAATTGAAGATTAGGAGTTGAAAATTTGGGGGATATGAAAGCCCTTACGGTATTTGATTGTCTTCTTCATGATGAAAAATTGAAACCCTCAATTTATTTGTGTTAGAGAAAAGAACGTGGGAGAGAGAGAGAGAAAAGAATGTGGATGAGGCAGGGGAGAGAAATAAAATAGAGAGAAGGTAAGAAAAAAAAGAAAAAAAAGGTTAAGGGGATATTACGTGAAAAATAAAATAGAAAAAAAATTAAAATTTCTTAATAGGTTTTATGTTTTATTTTAGATATTCTTTAAAAAAAATAATTTAATTAGGTAAATCTTGGTTTGGAAACAAATGGCCTTAAATAAAAATAATATAAATAAATTCTTATATAATATAAATATTTTTTTTTCAAAATCGGGGGCCCCTAAATTTCGTAAAAAATCGGGGGCCCAAGGCGGTCGCCTTTCTCGTCTCCCCTCAGAACCGGGCCTGGATACCTGAGGTAATATTTTATAGGCTCATAAGGACCGATTTACTTCATGCATATTTGCGCCAGTGTCATGGCCACATTTCCTACAACCTCAATGGGTGCGAGGGACTCTCTGGGCAACTCCGGAGGGTCCATCCCCATCACCCCTCGCATGATCTCTTAAAACTTTTTAGACTTTCACCCAATTTTCAGACACCGAAGTCTCGCAAAAGTTTGTTATGATATTAAATAAGCGTCGATAATTGTTTTTCAAGTTCCTTATTTGAGAGGCCAACCATTAGTTGTCAGCATTGAGGTCAACATACTTTGATAGGCACTATCGCTTACGTTAATCATTTGTTGCGGATGATAAATCTCGTTATTTTGAGATCGCCTGTTGCCTTTTAAAATGTTGCACCCGCTGATGCACACCATCAATCATTCCAGCATAATCGTTAATATCAACTCTATACCCATCACTTTTTGTCATCTTATAGCCTTATTACCAACACTTAAACTACAATCAATGATACTCGTGAGCATTTACGAATAAGTAACATATACCATTAGTTACATAAAATGAGTTACACCTCAATCTCCCAAAGGCATCTAGAATTCTTTAATTCACAATGTGCGTCATACAACCTAAACTCTGATACCTGTGACGTTCGCCCTCTATGTAAAGCTTTTGTCGAACTAGAATATTTGAAATAACCTAATTTTTTTTAATTAATACCAACTGAATTATATCTCACAAAATACATACCTTTTAGTTATTAACAAACCTCACATCCAACAAGATAACATACAAAATTTCTAAACCATTACAACGGTAGATTCTAGCAAGGGTTGGTCCCAGAGTCCTCGAGGCCTAAGCTGAAAATAAAGAGAGACGAAAAATGAGGGTCCTAAAGTAATTAAATAAAAATGTTATATATATATAATGAAAAAAAAAAACACAGAATATATTTAAATCCACAATTCATAGATAATTAAAATATTATATTTCTTGCTTTCTGAGCTGCAAATTATCAGTCAGGCTCGTAAAATGAAGCTTCTCGGTAATATATTTTTCAATGGACAAAAATATCAGTGAGATTTATTCTATAAGCAATCCATACATTCGGGATACAAATATTCATTTATTTCAAATAATCCAATACTTCAATTACATTTTCAATCTCTTTTGGTAATTACCTCTCAACATTCTCAATTCTAAAAACTATTATATCCATTTAATATCAGAGCATGCATCACATTTCCAGTGTTATTCAAGTTTCATACAACTACTCGTCAACCTTTCATCATTCACAAGTTTCTACTTTTTTAAATTCCAAGAAAAAAAAACAAATATGTGACTTTTGAAAATCTTGAAAAGCTATCCTTAATGAAGTAAGAGCTTGATCAATCACAATGAAGATAAAGTTTATTCTAAAGGATCTTTCGGATGTTAGGGTAACATCTTCATTGTTGTTCTCATCAAAGTATTTTTCTTTGCGGTTAACTCGTTTCTCACAAAATATTGGATGGATAACCTTTTTTTTTGCTATAACTTCAACTTCATTCTTAGCCTTCTCATATCCAGTTTGTCTTTACTTTTCAAAGAGAATAAATAGTCATTTTAACAAATTCAAAGCAACATACATATGCATTTCTTCATTCTGAAGAGTCTTGCTAACAATATTCACAAATGATAATAAATCATACCCAATAACCAAACTTAATAAGAAATACAAACTCTCTCAAACTGATTTATTACAAAACCAAGAGTCTCACTGGTTATTGCCTCGCCCCATCTTCATTTCTACTAGACAAATCCAATAAATCATCCCTTATTTCTCCGGTTTGAAGAACTTATGATTTCACGCTTTCAGTGCGATTTAACGATCTTGAGAATCTCTTAAGCGTTAGACCACTCACATTATCTTTAAGATGTTCCACCATTTTGTTAGTGCTGAAAATAAACAATATATGCGCTAGATAATGCCAAAGATTACTACATTCATGACCCTTGAACATATTTCAAAGATTTTTTTTAATCTCCAAAACCTTTTGTAGACAATTGCACTTTTACTCCATCCCGCTTGAATAATTTACAACAAAAGCAAAATGCCTTACATCCAAGTTTTGAGTACACTAACTATTTTCTCTCTTGTTTTTTATCCATTTATTAATTGTTATATATAATGCATATAAGATATGTGTTCTTTGAATGATGAAGATATTCAAAATGAACTAGGTGTACCTGCCATTAGTCAAACTATTGTAGTCCATGCAATAAATGCATTGATGGAGTGCAAAATTATGAAATTTATGGATAGATAGACATGAAAAGTGTGCCTGAATCTTTACATACTATAATAGCACTGGTGATGAATTTAAGCTTATGTATGTACATGGCTCTGTTGTTTGGCACAATGTTGTTTCCGAGTTGCCATCAAAATTTACTGGTGCATTATTTGAATCCTTTATCGAGTTAGACAACACTAGAGAGCTTAATTGAGCGGATTTTATTTTGGCGATTCTAAAAGGTGGAATTAGATAGTGGAAAAATAAATAACAAACATATATATGTGGATCTTTATTATTTCTTCATATATAAATTTAATCAAATCTCAATAACATCTAACACGTTATCTGGTTGAAATAATATTTTATTTGTCGCTTAAAGGTGTTTTAATTTACAACTGTGCGACCAAAAATATTCACAATGTGTTATGAACTTAACATCTCAACGACCCTTCTTGAACTTTTTAACGAGGCAAATGGTCGGTTCTTTCAACTATGATATATAAAAAAATGGAGGATAGTGGAGTGAAAATGTACGTTATTCAACCTACATTGTTCCATGACCCATAATTCTCACATTCGGACTATAATTTTGGCTTAAACCATTTTTCAATCACACTCATTTGGTTCAATTAAATTCATATGCGTAGTCAGAAAATACATTGTTTAATGATAAGAACCTCACCGGTAAAACATAAGTCAGGTTTGCTGCCAATGCACATAGAGGGAGATTCGTTGAGGGATGGACAAAAGTTTATGAGCGAACAAAATAAGAATAAAGTTACTGAGATTTTGAAATATGATACATTTAAGAATTGACATGAGATACATCAAAAAAGCAAGTGCACGAAAGTTTCACACAAGAGCACAAGTATCATTCTTAAGTGCACGAATAAGTGGATATGATAAAAAAATAATTGGTTATGGATAATTTAGTGAACCGACTTGCAAGTGTAGACCAAAGTGGATATCAAACAGGCATCCATGAATTAGGAAATAAAATCATTGATATGCTTCATAATTTAGAGACCACTCTTCCACGAATAGTACGAGATGCATAGGATGAAGTCATTCCTAATACAAATAACCCAAAAAAAGACATTAAACGACGAAATCAAAGTCAAAACATGGTCGATTTTATTCTAAAAAGGGTAAAGAAACTATTGAGCTATAGATTCTATGATGTTGAAAAACTAACATATTACCACAAAACAAAAAAAAAAAAGCTAATCAGTCCAGAAGTAGAA